TGTAAAACAAGCATAGAAATCTATCATAAGGGAAGCATGGAAACGGGAAATCATAATAAAGCAGTATGTCCAACAGTGCCCATGATCTTCCACCTGTCCAAGAGACAGCAGCAGTGCAAGCCATCTCCCCACACTCACAGTACATTCACATCATCCTTCAACACAAGTTATCTCATCCAATGTTGACAGACATGCCTCTCTGGCTGTCTGAAAACCTGGCTAAGAGCACATCACTTCCCAACCATCTAAGCCCCTTCCTACCCATACACTCAGCATTACCTTTCTGCACATACTATCTGTCATCATACCCTCCATACACCTCCCCTGCACATATAGCCCACCATCACACCCTCCACACTCTTCTACTGCCCACGGTCCTAGACAACATTTCTCTCTCTTACACATACCAACTACAGTCACACCCTCCACCACTCCTCTCTTGAACATATTGCCCATGGCCATACGCTGTACACTGCCTTCTGATCAGGATCTATGAACTCCTCTCCATCACTACTGCCCAACATCATATCCCCAACTCATAATGCCTACTGTCATATCCTCTGCCACTTTGCTTCTACACATAGTACCCGCGTTCACACCCTCACCACTTTTCTCCTGCAAGTACTGCCCAATGCTGTACACTTTGCACTAAATAGCACATAGTATTCAACAACATTATGTTACACTCCAGCACCCACTGGCCACCATCATATACTCCACACTACTTTCCTGCACATATGACCAGCCATTGTATCCCCTGCTACCCTCTCCTGCGCATACCACCCCGAGTCGTGCCATTCCTGCACATACCACCCCGAGTCGTGCCATTCCTGCACATACCACCCCCGAGTCGTGCCTTGCGTACGCCTCTCCCGCGCATACCACCCCCGAGTCGTGCCATTCCTGCATGCCCCCCCCCACCGTCTTGTACCGCTCGCATACCATCCCCAAATTGAACCACACGCAAGCCTCTCCTGCGTATACAGTCTACTATAACAATTATTAATATACCCAACTATGACCATTCTGGAAAGAGCACATTTTTTATTATATTTATACGTTTCATTGTATATAAAAGCGCGCGCACACAGTTTAAAATTTTCCTCTTTAGAAAGTCACTTCTGAAGGTCCCTGTTAGATTGGAAGCTCTAAGGAGCAGGGCTATCCAATTCGTCTTGTAATCTTAACTGTTCTGTCTGTCTCCCACCATTATGCAAACTGATGGAGCTATATGCATCCTAAATAAAAATAGTAAAAAAAACAGCTATCAAAAAAGGCTAGGCTTTAAAGAGACAGACAATAACCCCCCTTCCCCCTCCCCCAATACCACAAGTACACAAGATCTGTCAGTCCATTAGCTGTAACAAGATCTCTCCAAGGAAGCCACCTTCAGTCACCCTTAAAGTTACCGTTTTACTTATTTGTACCTTGTGAAATATTAACGTTGCCACTGAATTACACGACATTAGCCTTTGGTGTCGTTCTAACAAATACAAAGTCATTCCCTACACTTTACTAGAGGCTCAGAAGAATGACAAACACTTGTATCAAAGTTACTAAATAATGTAGCAAACAACAAATTCATTCTGCAAGTCATTGTGCCTGTGGGATAATGAGCGAGTTAGTCATGCAAAGGAGCCTGTCTGGCTACTGCTAGTACATGACTGCTGTCCTCTTCCACCTATAATTTACTGTATAAACCATATAATTCCTGCCACAACAGTAAGCAAGAACTCCTTACAATTAATTACAACTTTGCCAGAAAACAAAATGTAAATGCATGATGCTGTATATGAATTGAACATCAAATCACTATTTTGACAGGTGGAAGGAAAGGCAGTTTTTGACAAAGGAACCTTCTTACATTTTGTGCAGTCCTGTTTTAGGTGGCATTTGCCTGTAAAGTTATAGAATCTACAGATACACTATAGAGTGCCTATTAACCCTTACATACAGAAAGCCTGATGCATCATACCTAATGTAGTGACTGAATTCAAACTGCCTGAAATATTGAGTTTGATTAGTAGTACATGAAATAGAGGTGGGGTTGTGCCACAACAGATTAGGTATACCTACCCATCCCACATGTGAGGCGCTCCATGGAATCTGGCTACATTGGATTGCACAGAATTCAGATCAAGGTAAGCCTGCCTTTAACACAGCTGCAGTGTTTTCTGGATGGCATTAGCAGCTTAACAACTGGTATCTAAGCCCTAGTTTACACTTGCCATTATAGGGGTGGTAAAAGCAGCAGTGTTTTTAAATCCCTTTAAATTCTTTTTTAAAAATTCCAGATTTGCTTATAATATACAGTTATAGCATTTAGATTGCATTACTATACAGTTCAACTTCCAAAACCATTAATAAGTTCCACTGATGTACTCCAGTTCTCTTTACCACAATGCACGGTCAATACATACTGGATTTTTTATTGTATATTGTGCTGTATAATATGCCATCAGTATTGGTCTCTTTATTTATTCTGTATCCCAATTAAAAAAAACAAACACACCACTCAGCCCACAAAAAGAAAAACAAACATTATACATACTATCCAGTCAATTGATTCCTCACAGACTTCCACAAACAAGACAGGTGCTTCTAGGCAATTTCCTAGAAAGCCGGTGTGCCATATCACAAGTTAATGTGAACGCTGTCATTGGACAGCCTGCTTATTATCTCTGCATGGTCCAAAACTGCATAGCAGACTAATGGTTAACCAGTCTAGGACCAGCTGTAGAACGCTGTGGACTTTTTCAAGAAATAACAAATGCTGCAGTAGCAGAGCTGTGTGAAATGCATGACACTAAAAGAACAAGTAGACCCTTATTTAAAGTGATATACACCTACAGGTAAGCCCATAATAAAGCCCCGTACACATGATCAGAAAATCGTATGAAAAATGCCACTTTCAAAGAGATCGTGCGATAATCTGACCGTTTGTACACAGCAATCATCTGAAATTACTCGAAGGGACAAGCATGAAACTTTTTTGTTGTACGATACCAGATTGTAGGATTCTCGTTTAACCAGTACAGTTTTCATCCAAAAGTACAATATAAATACATCACTTCCAAATTTTTATTCTGTCGTACAATAATTTTCGCAACTTAAAAAAAAAAAAAAAAAAAAAAAAAAAAAAAAAAAAAAAAAAAAACACACCCCACAGACAATCATTCGTCCGATATTCTTGACATGTATATGGGGCTTAAGGCTTACCCGCAGGTAAAGTGAATATCGCCTAACCATGCACCATTCTCTGATCTTCCATTATACTTTCAATTTATGATGCCTATTAATCAGAAGGGTAGGGATAAGGGTTTTCTAGACTTGAAATCATCTAATATCTAGTAAAAGTATCAAGTTTATTTATTGCAGAGAAAGGAGATATGATGTGTTATCTATGATAACCTTCAGCAACCCATATACTATGTCTCTTCTGCTAAAATATGAAGATGATAATCTTCTAAAAGTTCCCTACCTTCCTCCATGCACAGCTCAGTGTACATTTTCAGCATGCTTTTATGTTGGGATGAATTAACTCAGCAAGGGAGCTACCTGCGCTGGAGGGGAAGGAGAGTTTAGGCAGCTTTAGTTCTGCTTTAATGGCCAAGCTGTATACCCCAAGGTGCCTGCTCAGATCTTCTCAGCCCTCTCTTACCAAACTACTATGGCAGTGGTTTGTGTAACCTTTTTTTGATTCATGGACCACTTTACTTTCATCAGTAGTCTAGTGTCACCATAGTAATACTGTACTACTCTAAGGGGGTGAGCAGGGATTTTTTTTTTTTTTTTTTTAACCAGTGTCCATGGTTTCAGTGAAGATCATTGTAACAGGAAAGTTCTGGGTTACATTCATGACAGTTGTGATCACTAGTGATCTATGATTGGCTACATCTAATCACATGGTACAGGGTGCTGCGATTAGCTCAGGTACCATGTGACAGCTGTGGGCCAATCATAGCTTAGGAAACAGATGAATTCATTCATAACAGCTTTGTTCACCACTGTGATCATGTGATTGCATAGGATCACTGGGCCCAGAGTACCGGGATCCATATTCTTCTGTGTCGGGTGGATACAGCTGGCTGTTGCTGGGGTGGGGGGGGATTGTTGGTGGTGTATGTCAAACAGTGGTTAAATGGTAAACATGGGAACATGGGCCAACAAAGAGTCAAGAGACACTTAGCAGTTGGCTCCTTAAGCAGTGGCAAGGTGTGTTTCTTTAATTTCTTTCAATATGGAACCATTGATTGGAACAAGGGGAGGGCTATATAGTGAATGCAAATGTTATTTTTCATCTGACCCTCATGGACCCCATGTTAAAAAAAGTATTAAACCCAACACCAAAAATGTTATATATTGCAAGTTACCAATCAGATGTGGTGGCTGCATCAGTTTTCTTTTCTTTTTCTTTTTTCACCTAGTGGTCTAGCTGGTAACACACCTCCAGACCACCTAGCGCTAAAAAAACAAAAAAACAAAAAAAAAAAAAAAAACACAAAAAAACAAAACACACTAGTGCCCATGGAGCCTGATACTGCTTTAACAACCCCTGCATGTAAATCAGAGCACCTAGAAATACCTAAACAAGTTTTATTTCACTCAAGGTCAAAAATATGCACAGTGCCAAGTTGTTTCCTTCTCCCCCAGGGTAGGCAAGGAACAACTTCAGCAGACCATATAAAAAGGGGTAGGATCCTGGAACGAAGCTTAAAATCTGGAAAATCTGGTGAAATCCCTGCAGTACAGTTACTCAGTTAACTGTACATCACTAATCCTGACACATCAGAGCTGTAATTGCAGCAATCACCATTCAACTAATCTGCTGCTGTGCTGTAACAATATCTAAGAACTCCTGAACTTTATACAGCGGCTATTACCTTGCATAGGCTATAGAGTACAAAGGTCACAGGCACAGTATAGGTAACTACCACAAATTGCAGGTAATGTGTATTCAAGAACATTCACACAGCTATAAATCTTGAAACATCCACCCCCCCTCCCCCCAAAAAAAAAAATAAAAAATAAAAAAAACCCACACCACACACTAAAAAATATATGCAGTTAGGTCAGAAGTTGGCAAGTAGACCTTCCTGATGTCCAATTATTTATTTTATTTCAGGTACTTATATAACACAGTCAATTATGTAGCGCTTTACAAAAAAATAAATAAATATATATATATATATATATATATATATATATATATATATATATATATTACACACACACATATATATACATACATACATACATCTACATACACACATTCACATCAGTCCCTAACCCTCAAGGGGCATGCAATCTAAGTTCCCTAACTCACATTCATACATACACATACTAGGGCCAATTTAGAGAGGAACCAATTAACCTACCAGCATGTCTTTGGAGTGTGGGAGGAAACCGCAGTACCTAGAGGAAACCCATGCAAGCACAGTCAGAACATGCAAACTCCAGGCAGGTGGTGCCATGGTTGGGATTCAAACCAACGACCCTAGTACTGCCAGGTGGAAGTGCTAACCATTTAACCACTGTGATAATGAGAATTAAAAGGGCTGTTTACGGAGGTCCTCTCAGTTGTGCAATGCAGACTGCAAATTCTGTTTAACACTACAGTAAAAAAACTCAATGATTGGAGGTGACCCCGGTCACATGACTGAACAGGTCATGATGACACAGCTCTCCTCTAGGGTTTTTTTTCCTTCATCAAGTTGCAAAGTACAATGCACCATATAGAAGGCTGCAATATGTATATAGATATACTTATGTCAATGTTGATTTCAAGGATTTTTTTCCTGTTTTTTTTTTTTTATTAAAGCATTGGATTAGGTCACCCTGCTGCTTGGGGCCCTTAAGAGTAACTCATTCAAAATGCTGTGCCAGCATCAGATAAGATCTATGAAATCAAGACCACTTCATTTTCCCAACACAGGTTAACAGAAAGAGCAAATTACCAGCTAGCTGCTATGATTTACTGTTATATGAAGTTTTCTACAATGCTCTTTTACAGCATAGGACTGCATAATGTACAGAGGCTACTAAACAAACCAACAAACCAGTAAAGCTGTCACACAGTCACTTTGATGAAGCTCACATACAGAACCTCTCCTTTAAATAGCCGTTTCCTACATAGATTCCAAATACAAGATGTGTATTCTTCCTCGAATCCTGGTGTGTTTTATATATTTCTCCCAGATCTAAGCAGTCATCCAGTGTGACACTTTCCCTTCTTGTAGTAAAGACCAGAAACTGCTGCTATGTCTACGTGTGCAGAGAGACTGGTCTTGTTTCCTCCCCCTCCTTTTGTTTTCTGTAGGCAGCCTGTAGTGGGTGTATCCCTCCCACAGCTCTGCTTTCTGCACAGGCTGTGCACAGCACAGTTATGATGTCACTGCTACTTTTACTGAGTAATATCTGGGTTGGCAAAGACATTTGGTGCAAACTAAGTGGATTTACAGCCTATGAGGCTATTGAGAAATATACATAAATGAAAAGGTTTGTGCCTAGATTTCTGCTTTAAAGCGGAGTTCCACTCACCCTGTCAAAAAATAAAAGTCAGCAGCTACAAAAACGGTAGCTGCTGACTTTTAAAAAAACAGTCACTCACCTGTCCCTTGGTTTGCCACCCACAGCCCATTTCACCGGCTGTCCTGTATTCCAGGAGGCCAGCATCTTCACTGTGGGCACCTGGCTGTGATAGCTTGTGGCTTCACAGCCGAGTACCCCCTGCACATGGGCGAGTAGCGCTGCGCTTCATGAATGGTCCTGTAGTCTTCTGGGACCTGTCACGTGTCCCAAAAGACTACAGGGAGGGAGAGAGGAAGGACACCATCCGCTTCCGATCGCCTAGGCGATCCGACCGGAAGTAGGAGCGGGTACCTGTCATATTCAGGTACCCGCTCCCCCCCAAAGGTGCCAATACTTAATGGTTAGCAGTCCTTAAAGCGGAACTTCCCCTTTTGGGTGGAGCTCCGCTTTAAGGGCCAGGTCACACTATAGAAACGCAGTCCAGATGCGCTTTTGCATGTGTGTTTGATGCGTTCCAGTGCTTTCTTATGCATTTCAGTTCATTTTTCCCTCTCTTTTTCTTCAATTTAAATCCCTATTTAAATCCCTATTTAAATCCCTATTTACCGCGTTCTAGTACAGTTCTGTGCAGAAAAAAAAAAATGCAGCCTGTTCTAATTTTTTTCTGCGCCCAGAACACACTGGAACTGCAAGCACTGATGTGAACTAGGACATTGACAACCATATAACCTACTTTCTGTGTGTTTTGGATGCAGAAAACACAACTGAAAACACATGTAGCGTGAACCAGGCCTAAAAAAGGTAACAGCCCCCTTCTGCTGAGGTCGGTCTACGATATCAGCTGCAAAACCTCCTGCTGCCTAAAGCAGTCAAATCACTATGCAGTAAAACATTTCACAGCTTATCAGGTACTAAAGAGAACCTTCTTCTACACACAACTGACATTGCATTGTCCTTTGTATAGTAATGGATGACAAGTTCCCTTTCTGCTAGATGGTAAATATATATTTTTTTTTACATAATCTTTGCAGCAAAATCCAGTAAATACAAAGGCATTCTGTGTGGTGTCCTTTAGCCATGGGTGAGGAATTTCTATAGGCATGGGTGGCACAATGCTCACATTCACATGGCACACACTGTCCCTGGATGTCATGTAGTCTCTAGGAGGACTACATTACTAATATGCAAGTTAGACAGGTTGTGGGACAAATTAGATGAAGTCAGTGCTGTGCCTGCAAAGGAAGTATAATACATATGTGATAGTAATTAAAAAGGATGACACACTCATTACTGCCTTAGTCACAATGCCTATGAACAGTTCAGAATCAAAGTACTGTGCAGGTTAATCATACCTACGTATGAATATGTACACCTTCACAAAAGATTATTAAAGTGATTGTAAAAGTTTTTTTTATTTTTCTTTTAAAACAACAAAACAGGTTATACTTACCTGCTCTGTGTATTGGTTTTGCACAGAGTTGCCCTGATCCTCTCTTCAGGTGTCGCCCACCAGTGGACCTGGCACCACCTTTTTTGTGTTTGCCCCATAGCAAGCTTCTTGCTATAGGAACACTCATGCAGGCTTGAGCCCAAGCTGCACTGTGTGTGTCTATTGACACACACCGTGTGTTTTGGCCCGCCGCCTGCTCCCTCTTTACTGGATTTGATGGACAGCAGCAGGAGCAATGACTGCCGTTGATACCTCTCTGTCCATTGAGAAGTGCAAGAGGGTCTCTGCTGTGATTGAGATCAGGCTTGGGCAAGTATAAGGGGGAATGGGTGTGGGGGTTACTGCATAGAACGCATTAAAGTAATGCTGAACCCAGGACCCTGCATCCTCTACATCTGGTCTCCCACAGTACACACAAAACGGAAATGCAATTATTTTAGTAAATATAAACTGCTAAATACCTTTTCTCATCAGCAATTAGAGCAGTCTTGCGACTTCAGCAGAGCACTTGTAGGAGGAGTTTTCTTGCTGCTCTAGGAGGATGTGAAACCCCCTGACCCTCTGTCTGGATAGTGCTGATCGCATGTACTCTCAAAAAAACAAAAAACAAAACACACCTCTCTACCAATATACACCAAACTGAGCATGTGCAGAGTGAACCCACACAATATGTTTTATCAGAAGATAAGAGGGGGACACTGGAAGAAGGGGAGGATCAGAGAAGACAGGATCAAACAGCCTTTTTACACAATGCAGAGGATTAACCCTTTAGGTTCCACAGTGAGTATAACAAGCATGCTTTACTGCATATACAGACTGATTGCACTGTTGTGGGTTTAGTAACACTTTAAGGTAAAAAAAAAAAAAAAAAAAAAAAAACACTTGAAGCCATTTGTCATCCCTAACTGTTCAAGGCCATGGGATAACACAAAATAGCAGCTAAAGTGATGCACCTTAACCGTTTACGGCGATTACTCCGGAATGCCTACAATAGTCAGCAATGGGTAATCTGTGACTCAGCTGGTTTCCAGTTCTACCAGTAAACATACTGATGGTAAAATATTTAGCACATACATATGGTCTGTGACATTTCTACTTTGACGTACTGGCTATATGACAAAAGAGCACACCTTTGTATCATATGGGCCCACCCTGATTACTAGAAATAATAGAATTGACTGGACTGAAGACAAAAATGTCTATGAAATAAACCAGAGCAGAAGAGAAAGACTTGAAGGCGTAACAGTGCAGTCAATACAGTGGTGCCATTCTCTCCAACTCACCAGTAACTAGTTATTGTTCCACATCTGAGACAGACAATGGAAGCCTTGTGATCGGATGATGCCTCGACTTCTACTACAAATCACATTGAATTAAATCAAACGTATCAAGGATGAGAAGAGAAGTCTAACATTCCAGCACAACCTTCAGGGCCCCATTTAGACGTGTGTCATCTTCTGTAGAGCGATCTGCAGGTGATCGGTTTTCAGAGGGCATTTGACAGGCACTATATTGCCTCCCCCCCTCCTGTTTTAACCCTGTAGACTCAGGCCATTGCACCCACCGACATTGCACGTGGTTGCCGCATGGTTATGGCACGGCTGTATTCACTTCAATAAGTGGCATTTTATGGGGGTACTACCTGAAAAATACAAGCAACAGGAAGTAAAATTTTTGCCTCAGCTTGCTTACAATCCCCTCCAGCCACTGTGTTAAATTTAGTGGCTGGTAAAACTGCGGCTCAACCACCTGTATTTAGGCTTGTTTCAGACTTCTGCGACCCCAAAGTCGTGCGACTTCTAGTGAAACTTTGATGTTTTTCCACTTTAGCCAATCATACCAATATAGGGTGTGACACATTATTAAACTTACAACACCCTCTGAAGTCGCAGCCAAAGTCGCAGAGATATGACAAAAAACTACTTCCTTGTGATTTTAACATTGCAATCTATGGCACTCATGTGGCAGGGAAGATGCAGAAAAATAGTGAAGGAACGATTTCTTTTTGGTTGCTGCAACTTGAGTCGCAGCAATTAAGATGGCACCCATTGAACTGAATGTGTTTTGACTTGTCATGTGACTTTCTATGTTGCTTGTCACAGAAAGTCAAATGAGAAGTTGCAGTAGTGTGAACCAGGGCTTACTGCCTTCCAAATTTCAGCTAGGCCTCGGGGCCCTTTCACACTAGCCCCATTGAGAACATAGGCAAGGCAAATTTACCTCATGTCCCATTCTTATCTTGTGGTGTGTGTGTGTATTTTGTCTGCACAACATCCCAGTTAAACTAGATTTGCCAACAGAGGGATAAATCAGGGACTTTTAGGCTCGGTTCACATCTGTGCGGGTGGTGCCGCTGCAGGACCCACACAAATACCTGTAGCCACACCACCTACACAGAGGAATACGGGACCTGTGGGTGGGTGCCATTAATTCTAATGGCATGCCGCCCTCACTGGAAATCCTAACTGTACTGGGAACCTTGGTTCCTACGCAGGCTGCAATTTCCAAAGAGGTGCAGGGACTCTTTTTCCCTGCGTGTCCTGGGGTATGGGAGTCAGTTCAAATGAATGGGCTCTCATGCCTGCGCAAATCACGACCTGCACAGCCGCACATATGTGAACCTGGCCTTAAAAAAAAAAAAAAAAAAAAAAAAAAAAAAAAAAAAGCACAAAATTGAAAAACAAAAGCCCATCGCCAAAGGGGGGCCGGCTCTGCGATCAAGCCCATCGCCAAATGGGGCCGGCTCTGCGATCAAGCCCAAGCCCATCGCCAAATGGGGCCGGCTCTGCGATCAAGCCCATCGCCAAATGGGGCCGGCTCTGCGATCATCGCCAAAAGGGGCCGGCCCAGCCCATCGCCATCAAATCGCCAAAAGGGGGCCGGCTCTGCGATCAAGCCCATCGCCAAATGGGGCCGGCTCTGCGATCAAGCCCATCGCCAAATGGGGCCGGCTCTGCGATCAAGCCCATCGCCAAATGGGGACAGGCTCCGGCTCTGCGATCAAGCCCATCGCCAAATGGGACAGGCTCTGCGATCAAGCCCATCGCCAAATGGGACAGGCTCTGCGATCAAGCCCATCGCCAAATGGGACAGGCTCTTCGATCAAGCCCATCGCCAAATGGGACAGGCTCTGCGATCAAGCCCATCGCCAAATGGGACAGGCTCTGCGATCAAGCGATCAAGCCCATCCATTTGATGGATCAGATTTGGAGATTTTCTTAGCAGAAACAGAGATACAATCAACTTACAAATCATAAATTATGACTGTATTTTAACTATTTACTGAAAGCCACTTCCTATGGAAAGAGCCCGATTGGAAATAAAATTGATCGAAAAATAAGAATTCGATCAAAGCATGTATGGCTACCATTAGGCTGACCATACACTATGCAATCTGATTGTACCATTAACTATGTAATGCAGGAGCCTAGAACTCTAAAACAAAAATGCTCCAATCAGATTGTGTATGTCCCAGCCTGGGCTCCCCTATGCCATGGGCAGCAGATGTTTAGCAGTGTGATCCCTGCCATCGGATACAGGATGTATACAAAGCCCTCGCTGTCAGCTCGCTGGGTTTGGTGGAGTCTCTTCCAGGGAACGTGTCGCCATGACTTTCTGACACCGATTAAGTGTACGACTTACCGAAGAAGGAAGGTAGATGAGACACGGCGTCCAGGAAACTGCAGGTGTCGATCTGCTTGTCGGCAGGTAATGGCTTGAACTGGTGCTGGAGGAGTAAAGCCATCGTGGGACCCCTGTACACTGATCACCGCTATGTCCCGTTTGTCCGTCTCCTTCACCCTCTTCCCCTCTGGCCGGACAAACACGGAACTGTACAACTCAACTCTCTCCCCATGCAGCTGACTGCCGGGGGCGGAGCGCTCCACACTCATCCTGTCCAATCAGCGAGGGCCGTCTCGGTCTATAGGACTGTGTGCTGCGAGAACGCCAATCATCTCGGCAACGCCAGGAGGATGGAACGCTTTCTGGCCAATGACGTGCGGGCGATAGCCCCCCCTGGCCAATAGGCGTGCAGTTCTACAATACAGTAGTGACAGCTTTCAGGAAAGTGAATTAATAATAAAGTATAAGATGAGAGAGGATCGGTTATCAATTATTTACCATGACTTTCCACAGACGCTGTCCTTTGCAGGGTCAGACAATGAGCTTTAAAGCTGGACTGCAGGCATAGGACTTTTCATTTAAAGTGATACTAAACCCAGGACCTGGCATCCACTATATCAGTCTCCTATAGTACACACAACATGGGAATACATTTATTTTAGTAAATATAAACTGCTAAATACATTTTTCTCATCTTGTGCCTTCTATCAAAGTCCAGCTGAGCACTGGTTAATCTTGTAGGAGGGGTTTTCATGCTGCTCTGGCTGTCCTATGAGGCTGCATGACCCCTGACCCTCTGTCTGGAGAGTGCTGATTGGTCCTGTGCAGGTCACATGCACCCTCCCAAAGAAAAAAAAATCTCTAGCAATACACACCAAAATGAGCATCTGCAGAGTGACTCCTTGAGCTTTGTACTATCAGCAGATGGGTTGGGGACAGTAGAAGAAGGGGAGGATCAGAGAAGACAGGAACAAACGGTCTTTTTACACAATGTGGAGGATTAACCCCTTATGTTCCACAGTGAGTATAACAAGCATGCTTTACTGCAAATAGAGACCAATTTTACTGTTGTGTGTTTAGTAACACTTTAACCTCTTCACGTCGGCTGAACGCAAATGTGCAGCCTCCCAGCGGCTGGGCCTTGACGCCGAACGGCGGCACATTTGCGTTCTATTAAAAAAGAACATATGTGCTTAGAGCGCGCGCCCTGTGCTCTCCCAGCACACATGTCCGGTACTCACAGAAAGGTTCCAACTCTTTCGATCAGGACCTTTCCCGATCATGTGACCGCTGTGATGACGTGTCGTGGCGGTCACATGACCCTAAACCCCACCCCACGTCCCGGCTTCTGAAAACCTTAAAGTGCCAATGTGTCCCATTGCAGAGATTTCCCTTCACTTCCTGTCCCATAGCCAAAAAGGAAGTGAGGGGGGATCCCTGCAAATTAGGGCAATTCCTTGGGGCCCCCCAGGTCACCAGAACTAGTGTCCTCATAGGAAGATTTCCCCTCTTTTACTTTTCTGAGGACATCCCAAAATGTTGGATTTTCTTTCACTTTCAGTGATAATGGTAAACAGGACAAATAGAGAGGATGAATCGCACTAAGGCTGCTTTCACATCTGGTTTTCTTCCCTTTTCTGATTAAAAAAGTAGAAGAGAAACGTGTGACCATGTGTATTTCTATGGAACTCACTGCACTGATCCGTTTTGGGTCTGGTGTTTTTTTTAAATCCTGCTTGCTGCATCTTCAGTGCAGGGCTGGTGTGGTAAAAAAAAATGCACTAAAAACGCTCCTCCCCATTAAAGTCAATTGAAAAACGCTGCAAAAGCACACCCGCATTGCATTTCTGGTGTGGTTTTTGAATCACATGTCCTGTAAAACACTGTAATGCATATGCGTTTTTGCCGCATTTTGCCATAGATCAGTGTGAATGTAGCCTTATGTGGCAGAGACAGCTTTAAAAACTAACAGGTGTTCTAATCCCTCTCCAATATATCCAAAACTAAAAAAATAAAGTTTTGACTTTATTTATACTTTGAAGCTGAACTTCAGGCAAAAAACATTCATTTAAATATATTCCTCAATAGCCTCAAAGGATATAAATCCACTTTGTGTGTGCCAATGCCTTTGCAAACCTCAATATTGCCTTGTAAAAGTAGCAGTGACATCATCATTGTAATGTACACAGACTATACAGACAGCATAGTAGTGGGAGGGGCCCACAGGCACCACTCACTACAGGCTGCCTGCAGAAACGTACAGGAGAGGGCGGAGACAAGA